GTTTTTGTCATTCAAAAAGAGTTTTAGTTCGTTATTGTCTCTTTGTCGTTGGTGAAAAAAATGTCGTTGACGAATCTAACCTCCGAAGTTCGAACCACACAGCAGATTCGTTCTGAATGACTCTCTTCCCAAATCGTCCCTCCCTAACATTTTCGTCTCGTTTTTATTCATCAACGAAAATGTCAGTAGAATTACGTCATAGTTTTTGTCATTCAAAAAGAGTTTTAGTTCGTTATCGTCTCTTTGTCGTTAGTGAAAAAAATGTCATTGAACCTCCGAAGCTCCGAAGTTCGAACCACACAGCAGATTCGTTCTGAATGACTCTCTTCCCAAATCGTCCCTCCCTAACATCGTTTTTATTTTTTTATTCATCAACGAAAATGTCAGTAGAATTACGTCATAGTTTTTGTCATTCAAAAAGAGTTTTAGTTCGTTATTGTCTCTTTGTCGTTGGTGAAAAAAATGTCGTTGACGAATCTAACCTCCGAAGTTCGAACCACACAGCAGATTCGTTCTGAATGAATCTCTTACCAAATCGTCCCTCCCTAACATTTTCATCTAGTTTTTATTCGTCAACGAAAATGTCAGTAGATTTACGTCATAGTTTTTGTCATTCAAAAAGAGTTTTAGTTCGTTATTGTCTCTTTGTCGTTGGTGAAAAAAATGTCGTTGACGAATCTAACCTCCGAAGTTCGAACCACACAGCAGATTCGTTCTGAATGAATCTCTTACCAAATCGTCCCTCCCTAACATTTTCGTCTCGTTTTTATTCGTCAACGAAAATGTCAGTAGATTTACGTCATAGTTTTTGTCATTCAAAAAGAGTTTTAGTTCGTTATCGTCTCTTTGTCGTTGGGGAACAAAATGTCATTGACGAATCTAACCTCCGAAGTTCGAACCACACAGCAGATTCGTTCTGAATGAATCTCTTCCCAAATCGTCCCTCCCTAACATTTTCGTCTCGTTTTTATTCGTCGACAAAAAATGTCAGTAGATTTACGTCATAGTTTTTGTCATTCAAAAAGAGTTTTAGCTCGTTAACGTCTCTGTCGTTGGTGAAAAAATGTTGTTGACAAAAATGATTAGTCAACTAAATTAACACTGCAACGTTATGTACAGTATAAAAAATGTATGTTCATTTTGAGATTTTGTAAAAACTACATGTAGAGGTGTTATTAAATGTGTTATTACCGATAAACTCTTGCAAAATTAAATATTCAAAACTGACAAATGAAAATTTTGTTATAACAAATATTGACAGGTATGACATCAATATATTGTGCATTCCTACTTACAAATATATAAAATGGCTTAAGTCTTAACCTATAAAACTGAAATAGAATGAGACATACATATAATCTCACCTAGTTCAGGTGCCTTGCTGAGGACAAAAGCATAGGCCCAGAACTTGCTGACTGGTCCGTTGTAGAAACTCTGATCACACACTGACTGCTTTAGGCCTTTGGTCATCAAGATGTTCATCATGTAGCCTCCAGTTCTGATGGCACCAAATATACTGAAGAAGGAGGTGCAACAAAACAAAAGAGACATTTTAAATCAGATACAACTGACTTTTTAAATGGTATATACTTTATTTATCTGTTAGGACTCATAGCATTACTAATAAGGATAACTATGCTTTATTTTATTCAGCTGTAAAGCTGCTTTGACACAACCAGTATTGTATAAAACGCTATACAAAAAAAGGTGACTTTACTTTATTTTTATTGGGTGTGCTTATTTATTGACACTTTACATTGTGTGGCTGGAAAGTTACTCAGCCCTCAGGTTCCAGTTTTAGGTTTCGTATAATGGCTGCCAAAGGCTGGATCATGTGATAAACCTAGAAGTGGGATATAGTACTGATCTCCACACATAGAAGAGTGGGATATGTTATATCTTTTTACAAGTTAGATGACATGTTAAGGTGCAAGATCAATACGAAATTATATATGCAGGCCTCTTATGTACCATATATGCAGGTCTTTATGAAGTAACTTGGAACGAGGAAGTGGCTTGTTTTTCTGGCTATAATGCACACCATTAATCTGCTAAAACATGAAACAATTTATAAATGCGCAGTATTCATTGCAGTGTGTTATGTGCAAAATCACTTTAAACACAAAGTGCACATCAAAGAAATGTGAAGTGTCTTTCCATTCTGACTGATTTAATTATTTTAAACTATAATCTGTTAGCAAACTGCTTTTATCTTGCACTGCCATTGCATTACGATGTCAGATTGAATGGTCCGTGAAAGCTTTAGAAATATCTCTATTAATAATGGCCTACGTGGGTTATTACTTAACATACTATTTATTTACATGTTACGTTTATATTTCCATCACTCATAGCACTGCAATGTGTTAAGTAAGCAAACATGTTTTAGCATTAAGATACACCCTACCATTTGCATGCAAGACCTATGACCCATTTACCTATAGACATATTTACCTGAAGGCTGCAAGTGTTAAAGACCATAGTACTAAAGGTTTCCTCAATTCAAACTTCTCCCTTTGTTTCATTACATGCCGCCCACCAAGTATGCAGGCAGCGTAGAGCGCAGAGAAGAGGAAGGACTTCTTCCTGTAAGGAATGAGATGGCAAAAAATTAGTAAAATCCAAAGAAAACTTCACTTCAACCTTCAGCGTGACCATCTGCTCACAACATATTTTTAGTCATTTTGATGAATTTACAGTTTTTATTTTTTACATAAATGATTGAGGCTTAAATTTGGGGCTGATTTCTTGCTGTAATGAAAACTATTCCAGGTCAGAATACATCAGTATTTTTTATATTTTATTTATTTTTTAAATATCAGAACCAACCATGAAACATATATGCTGTAAGTTGTCATATGCTTTTATCCAAACTATATATTAATATGCATGTACACATTTTGTTATTTCTTAATGTCTTTTATGCTTACTGAAGGATGCATTTGATCATAAATACAGTAAAAAAACAGTAATACTGTGAAATATTTTACTGTTCAAAAATATTTTAGCCCTTACTCCAGTTTTCAGTGTCACATCCTGCTTTAGAAATCATTCTGTAATATGCTGATCTGCTGCTCAAGAAACATTTCTTATTAAGCAACTGTTTTCAACAGTGATATTAATATTTTTGTGGAAACCCTGATTCTTTAATGAATATAAAGTTCAAAAGAACAACATTTATTTTGAATAGAAAATAGAAATGCATCAGGAAAAATCAGGAATGCATTTTCTTTTTTTCCTGAATTATGCCATGTTTGTATGGAAACACACATTCTCCATATTACATAGTCAAATTAGCAGACTTTGCATATGGTGAAACAACCACCTGCAAACTTTGTCCAAATGCGTCAAACATTACATACATATGCAATTGTTTCTTAAATCATATATTCATCACTTATCTGTTGCCAAAATGAAATAAACTGTTGTTGGAGCTTTTCATCACAAACAGCTTATTGGGCTTATTTTGACAGCTTGTGATGCTTTTAGGATCTCATAATATCTGGCAGTGCTGTACTGCATTTATCTGGTAGCTGGAAATATCCAGCGTGCAGTCTAATTCAATTTTGAGGGTATTCTGATTCCCTCTAAATCTGATTTGCTTAAGGCTTCGTCCGTTTTTTTTGGGGAGGGGGTAATTGGAATTGAAAGAAAACATTCTGGTTTCCTCTAAAACCATTAGGAAATCTCTGTATGTCTATTAAAAAAAGTATGTCTATTAAACACATAATGACAAAATTATGCTCAAGGGTACTAATATTTAAAACCTAACATTGTCACAATATCAAAATTTCAGTAGCCAATACCAACACGAGAGCAATTTCATGGTTCTACTAATTTTGATACCATGTTCACAAATTAAACTAAAACAATGGCATGTAGTAATACATTTACAAACAAAAGCAAAATCACAAACAATAAAACAGTTGTTTTGATATTTAAACACCAGAATCAAGTAAATATCATCAAACTAATTCTTGGTTATATAGTCTATGTGTAATAATATCCAATGAATGCTGTCAGAGTTTGGCCAAAAAGCAGGCCTTTAAATAAAATTAGCAGTGTTTCTCATCCTTATTAAAACAAAAGCTTTAATTAATAATGACAGCATCTTTTTTCGGTTAATGGAAGAAGTCAGTCAGATGGGAGCTTTGCCAGTGCAGCATCCAGCTGGCATTATGAGCCAAAACTGGGGCACGTCTCTCCCTGGCTGTATCATCTCCAGCAAGATGTGTGTAACTTTGTTCTCTTTCCAAGAACAGTCAAATCGGTGAACGAGGAACCCCAGAGGTTCTTTGGGCTTTTAATTACCCCATTTGCATATGGGTAAAGCCTCAGACAATTCCTCTATTCAACAGAATTCAAATAATAAATAGAATTAAACCAAAATGTAATGCAGTAGTAGTAGTGCTAAGTGTCTTTTTTATATTTAGCAATCTGTTCGCGTTGTTTTATTTATTCATTTTTTGTTACACATGACCTCTATAGGCTTTGTGTGAGGAAGAGAAGGGTGTAGGTTGTGAAAGCACGCTAAGCATCATTTTTTTTCTTCTGCCCAGTGCCCACTGGATGTGAGAGACACTGACCTCACTCTGCTCAGAACAGTGGGTTCATTCTATGCATACAGCCCCCCTCCAACCTTGAACTGTCATTGCATTGTTCTTTGTGTACAAAGGGAGGCTGCAGCAGTATGCACATATTTTATTGGACCAATTTATGAGTGTTATTGGATGACTGAACTCTTGTTTCTGGTTACAAATCAGTTAAATGCACTGGGTGTGATTGCTTACACTAACAGGCCCATTTTCTTCACAGTGCCAGCTAGCAGGAAGTTTGAACTTGAGAAAACAGCTGGCAACAAGATGCTGCTATTGTAATCTAACTTCTGTGTTTGTATGTCATTATGTATCGTGTCAGAACCAAACGTTCGATGCAGCTAGGGGTTGGGAATTTTTTTTTATTTTTATATTCAGTATACCTCTTCATTTAAAGTTTTTTTTTTTTTTTTTTTTTGTCAGAGGGAACATCGTTTTGACCAAAAAGCCATTGTAGCCTAGTTAAAAGCTTTTTGACATAATGAACTAAGGAAGTATACTTAATTTTCATTTATATGATTTGTGCACCCATAAAAAATAAGCAGCAATATTTTCTAACACTACCAAAACGTTTGTGATCTGTAAGATTTATTTTGTATTATATTGACCAAGGCTACAGTAATAATGTGAAATATTATTACAATTTAAAATATATACATTTTTTAGTATATTTTTTAAATGTAATTTATTCCTGTGATGGCAAAGCTAAATTCTCAGCAGCCATTACTCCAGTCTTCAGTGTCACATGATCCTTCAGAAATCATTAAAATATGCTTATTTAATGCTTAAAAATCTTTTTTTTTTTTTACTATTATCAATGTTGAAAACAGTTTTTGCTGTTTCATATTTTTTGTGGTATTAAAACATGACAATCTTTAGAAAACTTATGTAATAAAAAGTGCATTAAATCAATTTTGCTTAATTTTATTCTTCCAACAATATCATCTTAGATATATTTCTTGTATTCAATATATTACCCAGCCCTAGATGCAGTAAAGAAATGAAGAAACTGCCAGTTTAGAACATGCAAGGTTATTTATTTTAAGATGGGTTTCTGAGCTGTGCTGCAGTCAATGACAAAACAGCATCACTGCCTTTTCATTAGTGCCTTATCAGGAGACATGTTTTGGGGAGGACTTCAAATATCCTGCTAGAGGTGTGAGTGGCGTATGCCACACGAATGCAGCAAAGTCCTGCCTTTGTACTGACCATCCAATGGCGATGCAAGAGAGTATTCCCATCAGGCCTTGTTAATATGTCAGTAAAGCAGAGCTAGTGGAGCTTACGTATAATGCAATGAAAATGATCCAGAAAAAGGTAGTAGGACAGAAATATATTAAACAACAAATATTTGATATAAACCTAACATATTCAGGTCCTGCTGTGTATTGCAAGACCATCAAGTCATTAAATTCTTCATCTGTGTTTTTGTCTATGCTCTCATTTTTCCAGCTGAGAGCATCAGACATGTAGTGGACAAAGACTGATGGTGAAGCTACCTGCAAGGGGTTACATCTGGCCCAAGCTGTTTAAGCTAGAAGTGCTTCCCAAGTCATTTAGAGCCGCTAAATAAACAGATTTTACAGCCTAATAGCAGTTTTAGACTAATGACGATATAACAGAATCTATTCTGCTAGATTCAGTGATTTTTAACCAAACGCAGCACAATTTAGGAAAAGTGCAGGATGGTAGAATTCACTGTACAAGTACAGAAAAGAGTTTCTGTCAGAGCAAAACCTCGATGTAAGGACATGCAAATGCATTTTTTTTTAATTCCATGTCAGAGGAATAGTTCACCCATAAATGAAAATATGCTGAAAATTTGCTCACCCTTGGGCCATCCAATATGAAGATTAGTTGGCTTCTTCATTGGAACAGATTTGGAGAAATTTAAATCTGCAGTAAATGTGTGCCATCAGAATAAGAGTCCAAACAGCTGCTAAAAACATCACAGTAATCCACATGACTCCAGTCCGTCAATTAACGGCTTGTGAAGCGAGAAGCTGCATGTTTGTAATAAAATGATCATTAAAACATTTTAACCATTGCTTCTGGATAAAATACAAGTTCTCTATTCATAATAGGGCTGGGCGATATAGCAAAAAAATGTATCGACGATATATTGTTTCATATCGTTCGGTATCGATAATTATTGACATTTGTATAACCTTTTTTAAAACAAAAAGCAATAGAATTTTTTTTTTTAATTTAACCACTGTATTTATAATTAACACAATTTATTGAGACAAACAACAAATATTTTTTGTTTTAACAATCAAACACAATAAAAATTAAACAAATATCTAATTTCTAATGTTTTATATGCAGATTAAATAGGTCTTTATTGTATAGGTCTAATTGTCTCCCGAGGGCACAATGAGCAAAATAATGCAACGCATTTAGCAAGTAACTCTATAAAAACGTGCTATACGTCTAAATTAACTCTTAAAAATATAATTTTGTAAATTGCATGAACAATTATGAACAAAACAGCATCATGTATTTATGCATTGCTTAATCCAAAGAGCCGAAGCGCCATTCACACAGACTGCTTTTTAAAACATATGAGAAGCAGTGAAAAGGAATAAACCTCCACAAATTTGTGACGTGTTTTCTAAAAGTTTAAACTGTTTTAACTTTGCATGGCTTTCTGTACATCTCTTCTGTGAGACGTGGGTGCAGCAGTCATATTTGTCCGTCTAAAAATTAGGGATGGGCGTATCGATCCGAAGTATCGATATATATCGATACTGATGCGAGTATCGAAAGTATCGATACTCAAACTAAAAATATCGATACTAAGGTGCGCTTTATTTACCAGTGGTTTTGTTTATTTAACAAAACTAATAATAATAATAACAATGCATACAATATGCATTGAATTGGACGAATAACCTTTGTTAGCGAGTAATTGTGTAGGACAGAACTATTTTCCTGCTCACCTGAACACACGCAAATGTTGCATGACAGAACCAATCAATCACAGAGAGCATTCACTCACTGCTGACAGTGCATTCAACAGGGCTGCTTTAAAATAG